AGGCTTTCTTATCTTATCTAATCATTATTTCCTATCTTGTTCATTTGCGGTTTTGCACCTGAAGATGGTGGTTCGGTAAAACCATCGAAACTAGTCCTATGAAAATTTGACTTCTGAATTAGTATTTATTCGGCATGTTATTGTGTCTTAATTTTTAAAATAGTGTTCGTGCGATTTTTACAATATTCGGTACTTTGGTTTAAAAAATAGTGCAAATTCTGCAAAAGATGGAAGCAGGTGCTACTCCTCGGTTTATAGCAGAATAGTATGGAATTACGACACTATTGTGTATTATATATGGAAAAATAAAGAAAAGCTGTTGAGATTTTGCAGCAACAGTGATTCTAACACTGGAATCTGAAACCGGAAATATTTCCATGAGGCGAAATCGGCAAACCTCGATGCTGTGTACATATAATACAATGAATAGTATAATCAATTTTTATATGTAATAATAATTTAATGCATATAATAAGTTATTGCAATAATGTATATAATAATTTAATTAAATGTATCTAAGACGCCTTATTTATTTTGCACTTTTAGTCTGAATATTATGATTTACCTTTTCTGTCCTGAAATCCGCATAACCTCTGGTCCCAAGCTCTGCGGATTTCTGGACTTTTACTGTATATATCCTAAGTCGTGAGGCATGATAACGCACCGATAATACATTCTGAATTGGTTCAGTAAGAAAACGGAGATACAGAAGTGCACGCATTTTTTTTTTTTTTTGAACATTCATTTTAGTTCAAAGAAAAATATATGCAATAATTATTAATTATAGTATAATTATAGGAATTGTTTACTATAATAAAATAATTACAATCAAATATAACAATTATATTAGAATTTATTGTAATGATAATATAATAACGAAAATTATGCAATAAAATGTAATAATTATAATAACAATTACAGTATTATAACAACAATAACAGTGAATAACAGCTAATAATAGTTACACTTTATAAGAAAATTAAGTATATGCAGCAAAATTAAGTTTTGAAAACACTAAGTATTTTTACCAATACATAAATATGAGCAAGAATTAAAAGTGTGTAAAAATGTAATCAAAAAGTTAATTACAAATGATCATCAGCAAATCATCTTAGATAACTATGCCTTCTGAAATTTGTGCTCTTTGAAAACTGTGGAAATAAACAGGGTAAAAATAAGAACAGAAAAAATCCCTACTGCATGATTCCATCTACTCCCCTATTTCGTGAATAAATCAGTCCAAAAAGCGCAAGTGTATTTGTGCTCATGTTCTTCCTGTTTCTTTTCAAACTATATCAATGCTTTTTGCCACATGGATAAAAATATGCATTTTAAGTCTTTTTTTTTTTTTTTTTTTTTTTTTTTTTTCGTTGGAGTGTGTGTGTATGAATATGAAAATTGTTCAATCACCCTCCATTTTTACAGTAAATCCTTAAACTCTTCCCATGCCAGGATATTGCGAACAAAACTAAAATTCATTCAGATAATTTTCTGCATTTGTACGAAGAATAATTTACACAGTATTTGTATATTCTTTTCTTTTTCATAAAACATTCTTTTAAATGACTTATAAGATTACAAAATATAGAGTAGAGGAAAATTTCCCAAATTTTCCAACAAAAATTATTTTTTTTTAGGATTTCAGCCCTCTTTATGCCGGAGATAGTGCAGTCATGGATTTTTGAAATGTACTCAAAATTTTCTTTTTTCTCTGTTCTTCTTATTATTTTTTTGTAACCAATAAATATTAAAAATTTCGTATACATTAAATGTTAATCAGAAGAAATATAGATTTTAAAAGTACAGCAGGAAAATTTATGGAAATCTTAAGACCACTGCCATGTTACTGGAAAAGCAAGAAGAATTTACAAATACAGTATAGTTTATACAGTATTTGTATATTGTTATTTTTTACGAATCATTCTTTTAAATGACTTAAAAGATTATGAAGAATGATATAGTCAAAGCAGAAGGTAAATTCATCAAATTTTCCAACAACAATGAATTTTTTCAGGATTTTGGCCCTCATCATGCCAGAGATCTTGTCTGATAAACTTGAATGACACCATTGCTGGGAAGAGTTTTTAAGAACATTTAGGAACTATTAAAGAAAGGCACTTCAGAAATTGAAGGCAGCTAATTTAATATTAAACCCTGCCAAATTGTTCAGACAGGAAGTGACTTATCATGGATAATGTTATCTCTGCAGAAGATGTGTGCATGGATCCAGGAAAACTGTCAGCAAAAGCCTGGAGACACCCCAAAAATGTCGTATCAACTGAAAAGTTGCACGGGGCTTTGTACCTACTATAAGAGATTGGTGAAGGACTTTAAGGTTAAACTTCAGGATTTGTGACAATCCTGACATAGCCTCAGTTCGACAAACATTTATTCTTGACATGGATGCAAGCAGCAAGAGTGTCGCAGCTGTTTTGCCCCAAGAAATAAATGGTCAAGAATGTGTTATAGCATACTGGTACAAGTATCTATCCAAACTGTAGAGGAATTACTGTGTCTCTAAGAAAACGTTACACACCATAGTTAAAAGCCGTAGAACATTTCCATCATTATATCTATGGCAGAAAATTCCTGCTCCTCACAAATCTGCATCCTTGACCTGGCTTAAGTTAAAAAAATTCCAAAGAATACTTGGATACTTGTATGTTTTATACAGGCATTCTACTGCATAACACAGTCTAAATAGCCAGATGGATACAGGGACTCCAGAAATATAACATCACAATCCATCATTGAAAGGAATCATTACAAGGAACTAACAACACCTTGTCTAGAAGACCCTGTTCAGAAAGCTCCCAATATTGTTCCAAGGTTGAAGTGAAATATCAGCTGTTTAATCCAGTCACACATTAAATTACAACTTCAAAGTAGTTGTAATTTAATGTGTTGAGTGATAAAAAAGTTAGAAAAGACCAGTTGGAAGATGGTGACATTAAACCCACGACTGATGTAATGGAATCTTTTAATACAGAACCTACCCGGCAGATCTATAATCTGATCTATAGACCTGCAACAAAAAAGTATTGGGCTCTGTGGGACTCACTGAGTATTTGAAACAGCATCTTGTACCAGAAGTTTGAATCTGATGATGGAAAGGCATTCCAGTGGCAGGTTCTTTCCAAGATCCTGGATATCTTTAAAGAACGATATAGCTGACAAGGGCACTTCAGAATAATGAAGACTGCATACAGTTCGAAAGCATCTTTACGCAAGTAATGTGAGGGCTGACATGCAAAAGTGATGCTAATCTTGTAATGCCTATGTGGGTTGGAAAAAAGTGAAAAACACAGCTGAGGACAGCTGCGATGTTACAACACAGAAGCACCTTTTCGAACAGTGATATCCTGGGATCTTTGCCATGAACTGCTGAAGGTAACAAATACATCCTCATTGTCATTAATTACTTCACCAAGTGGTCTAAAGCATATCCCATCAAGAGATCCAGATCAAGAGGCTGCCATGAACTGCTGATGGCAACAAATATATCCTCATTGGCATTGATTACTTCACCAAGTGGTCTGAAGCATATCTTATTCCTGATCAAGAGGCTGTCATGGTAGCAGAGGCAGTGGTACAGCATTGAATTTCCAGGTTTTGAATTCATCTTCTGCAAGTTACTTGGCATCGACAAAACCCAAATGACACCCTTATACACCTGATCAGATGGCATGGTAGAGTGCTCTAATTGAACCATCCTTATAACTTCTTGCTGATGGTTTCCAGAAACCAACAGTACTGGGACCAGAAATTACTGCTGTTCTTACTGGTCCCTTGCAGTGCTGTCCATGAGACTATTAGCTATTCCCCATTCCAGATGCTCTTTGGTCATGAACATCGTCTATCATGTGATCTGTTCTTTGGTCGCCCTACAGATGCGCTATCATTGCCTGAGGAATACATTCAAGCATGGTTGGAATTTATTCTCAGTTTTGCATGAGGGCAAGTGAATTTGGCGATGGAGAAGATGAAGACCTGACACAACATGACAGCTACAGGAGAATGAATGTGAAAATGAATGTGACAATGTAAATATTATACCAAGACCATGGTCTTATTTGCATACAAATCTGTAAATTCATGCATTTATTAACTTAGTGCTTGATTTCTTATTTATTGAAATTATTGCTTTAATATTTGCACTGTGTTTTCTTAGATGTAAGCATGGCTTGTTGTCCAAGGATGATACTGCCCGAGATGTACATGCCATAGGAAGCAGGCAGTGTTATGAATTTTGTAGCTATGTAAGTAATTTTATGTGAAACGTAATGTGAAATTCTTGAGAACTTAAGCTTTGCTGGAAAAGTAAGAATAAACACTGAGCAGATATCTATCTCACTAAATTGGTGAGATATTGCCAAGCTGACGACAGTTTTTGGTAACTAATTACTGTCGCCGAATTTGGCGAGAAATCGCCAAAATCGCAAAATTTGGTAATAGTATTTAACATAGTAGTTTGAAGTGTAATTAATGATTGTACTTTGTAATACTGAGAAGAGCTGTATAAATATTTTTGTTGAAAGTTTCAGACCTGTAGACCTAAAAATATACTCTTTTTGGTAAAATAAATTTTATCAAGCTATCATCGATGTGTGCAGTCAATCTATTATGAACCCATATGCATGCAACAATATTATATTTACTTTTTCTCCCTTTTATTCACAAGCAGTAAGAGGCTAATATCTGATTATTGAAATCAAATGAGTTTACATTTGTACTTGACATAAGTATGAGTACCTTTCTCGAAAATTTTGAAACATAAGACCTGACCAGTGATTTGTAGTACTCATGATACTGATTGTGAAGAGAAGACATTTTATAGAAAATGAGTGCTTAATAATGACTTAATATAAGAAAGTTAATATAAGAAAAGAGAGATAGTTTTAATTGTGTGCTATATTTTACAACATCAAAAAATTAAATTATACAAAAAATGAATGAATTTGATACAATATTTTAACACTTAAAGCATGATAAAGACTTACTTTTTTATCTGATGCTATATACAGAAAAAAGGTGATGATGGAATGTGCAAGTTCCACACCAATGTTTAACTGAAAGTAATAAGCAGAATTATTAAATTTATATAAAATTTGCTAAGAATTAAAACAATGTTAAAATATCAACTTACCTTTAAACTCTTTATTAAAAAGCTAACAAGCAATGGCAAAATGGAATTGTTTTTTAAAACAGGCAGCCAGTCATCTGTTTCTTGAATCAATTCATTCAAGAGACAAATAATCACAATAGGTAACTGAAATATTAAAGTAAATAGCTGTTCAGAATTTCAACTACAATCATTTGAGATTATTTTATAGCACATCTGGCAGCTAAATAATTAATTATATATGTAAAAATATTGAATAAAATAAAACATAATTATGAACTCTTACAAAAGCTATTAAGTTAACACTTTTGATTTCAAGGAAAAGTTTTCATACTCTGTTTTACAAGAAGTACGTAGACTAGTAATTCCCATCCTTTTTTGCTCCCCGCACCCCTTTCACCACTACTAGATGATCATCCTTAACCCCCATTCCCAAACTCGAAATATGCATATACAATTTACTTATATTTAGATTTTTTTTAGTGTGGCTTATAAATTAAACAAGAAAAAATGTAGAAAATATTGTTAAATACCAAAACTTGAATATAAGTAGCTCTTTATCAAGAAAGCAGAGAAACACGCCAAGTAAAACAATGAATGACACAAAGCAACAACCTTGTGTTTGGTGTAGATTTTAATTAAGACTTTATTGATTTCGACAGCAAACTGGTGCAGGTCTCTCTTCATCAAGAGCAAAGAATTTGCCTGATTCTTCTTGATAGATTTCTTTGCTTCTGATAAAGACAGACCTGTACCTGTTTGCCTTTAAAACTGATACAGTCTTGATTAAAATCTATGTCAAAGACAAGGCTGTTATGTCTAATTTTAGTTTTTTTTATAATCAAAAATAAAACTAAATACCTAACTATTAAATAAAAGGCTAATCATATTTCCCTCTATAACTATGAAATCCTCCCCCTCCCCATTAAGAACCTCTGGTGTAGACATTTCTTTAATGAAAGCTTAAAAAAAACCTTAAAAGTTTAGGAAATGTTAGGATAGGGATGGTCTTTCATAAAACATTACCTGATCAGCTAATTATATTGAAGAGATTATGGATAATAGATTATTAAAAAATATTAAGATTATTAATATATAGATTATTAATAAAGAGCATGTCATTATTATGACTACAGAGTGAAACTAATTCATTGCAGTACATGAAACTACAAATAAAAAACAAATACATAAAAACCTCTCCAATGCTTCATAAATATTAATACAACTATTTGCCCTTTTTCACCAGTGGCTTAGGAGTTTTGACAATCAGTCTATCACAAAATGATTAACTGACTACAGCTAACTGTTCTCCACGATGAAGAAGAAAATAAATTTTCGAGCAAATTGCTTGTTTGCTGGTAGTGGCTTTAGTAGGTTACCATTATCTCAGGTGCTATTTGTGAGCTACTAACACTTAAAACGAATCTCTTTCCCTACTACTGTCTCTCTCCTCTCTCAGAGTTAAACTTTGGAGTTCCAGAATTTTGGATGGTTTTGGAAAAAACTCTGCTGCCCTGCCACTGGTGCATAAACATCAGTGCATTCCTTGATTGGTGAGTTCATGCTGTTTTACAAGCTTGGAAAAATTCCTTGAGAATCCAAGAAACAAAAATGCAAAAGTGATCTTTCACAAGTTGTAGAAGGGGTTAGCTGACACATGACAAAAGTTGCAATTTAATGCAAGGCAAATGTCTTTGACTGGGAATTTTCACATCCACTAGAAATTCTTATTAAAATGGCCCACAATAAAGCCTCTCTTTCTGACCACAGTGGCATGAAAGTGCAGATTAGACGCCAATGTGGGACATATACAAAACCTATGCAATTAAGAAATAGCCAAAAGCATTGCAGTAGCAATCTTCACCAAACAGTGCTTGTGGAGAGTGTTTGTGGCAACCATGCTCAGAAATTCTATTCTGGGAATTAACTCAAGATTTAAAAGGAATATCTGAAGTCCTGATTTTCAAGAATTTAAAGCTCTTTGTATTCTGAGATATTAAATTCTTCATAAAAATCTTTATAAAACTTGAAAATTAAAAGAAATTATTTCTGCTAGTTTGTACATACTGAATTCTTAAACAAGTTGATTTTTCTCACTAAACTGTTCTAATGATTGATAGCATTTTTATATGAGAATGATTTAATTGTTTAAAATTAAACATTGCTATAACACAAAATGATTTGAAATTGATATTTTTAATAAGGCCTTTTTTGTGTGATAAATTTGAGAAAAATTCATTAAATTGATAGTGATATTAAAAGCAATCAAAAACTGCTTTAAAATGAGAATTTTATTATAAGGTGATGTTAAATACATGTGCTGCTGAGGGTTTAATGATGACTATGAAATTTAATTTTAGTTTAAATAAGAGGTACAGAAAAGAAAGTTAGAGGAAAATTCTCTAATAGAAGTACATTACATTTGGATACAGGATTTGGAAATGCTGAAAAATACATTTTACCTAAAACATATGTTAGTGCATAATGAGAGGAATTTTTCTCGAATTTTTGGATACAGATGCCAGATGCCTTTAACAAATAAATCAGCATGCCCATATACAGGGCACTCGAAAAATATCTGGCAAAATTTTGTAGGGTGGTCAGTGGCGTAGCTAGGGTGGGGCAAGGGGGATCATCTGTCCCCAAGTGCAGCATCCAAGGAGCACCAAACTGATGTCACAAAATTTTAGAATGCAATGTTTTTCCATTCTTGGCACAGAGAAAGGGGTGCAAAATCTTCAATTATCCCCAGGTGCTGAAAACTACAGCTACACTTCTGAGGGTGGTAGAAGGAACCAAAATAAGCATTTTTTGTTGTAGAATGCATGTCCAAAAAAGATGCATTTAAATGCTAATAGATGGTACTGGTTATGACAGTTACTGACATCTGAGATTAGAGACTTCATTTCCCTGCTGGGATTTACAATATGCATTGCTTTACAAATTCAGCACTTGCACACCCATTTGATATATGGAGCAACAAACAGAAATGGATTCAAAATGATGGAATGGATTCAAAGGCTGTACAGAAAAGGATTCCTGGTGAGACAAATGCCAAACTGATAAATGTTTGAGTCTGTGCACAAGCTGTGCAAAAGTGATTCTTTTAGTGCTACAGATATGATGTGGGCTGAACCAGAACTGACAGAACTCCTAATGCAGAAGAAAGTACTTTACCTGGAATGAAAGATATTGTAGGTGATTCTTTTCACAACCACAAGAACTGTTTCACTTGACCTCATTCTGAGGCACTTGAATGGGAAATATTATATGATGAAGGCATGCACTCATTCCATTTAAGTTGTAAAGAGACTGACATTAGAAGACACCCTTTCCATGCACACTTCACTTATAGCCATACTTTGCATGTGTGTTATTTACATATGAAGGACTGTTTAATGGCCACAGTAGATGACTTTTAACACATGAAAATCCACCTGGAATAAGACCACATGCATACTAGAAAATTTTTCTGATGAATGTACAAGCTGGTTTGGTAAAAATTATTTATTTGGACGATGCATTCTTTCTGCTTGTCACTTGGATGGGCATATGTACTCCATCTCACAAAAGACACGCTGGCCAACATATCTATATCTATTTCAAGCAGAATTCGGTTCCAACATGGCAGATCTGTTCGTGGTACACCATGATCACCATATTTGGCATTTTGGGATTTTAAGAGTACATAAAAAACACCACATATGATATACCCATTGACTCTGAACAAGACCCCATAGCTAAAATGTCTGTTGCTACTGGAGATGCAAAGGATGTGCCTGGCATGCTTGTAAAGGTATTGTCATCAACAGGCCGATGGTGTGAAGTGTATGTTTGAATTAGTAGTCACTGTTTGAGCATCTGCGGTAAAACAACACTCATTAAACATTTGTTAAATTTCCTTCTACTTGCCCTTCTTTCACATTTAACCAATTTCTTTATTTTCTGAGGTTAAGCGTGCCATTTTCAGACACTTTCTATGATTAAAAAAAAAAAAAAAAAAACTAATTTTGGTTTTGTCTACCTCCCTTTAATATTTTGCCAGATGTTTTCTAAGCATTCCACACATGTAAATAAATCAATACATTAAAAAACCCATCTCATATTTAATTTGGAATAAACTATATGGGGGGAAAAAAAAAAAAAAAAAAGGAACACTGTGGTCAGTTGCATGAAAGGTGCAAGAAATGTTAAAACCAAAAATGAAGAAAAAACAGTAATTTACATCTTTTGTTGCATCATTATCAGGGGTGTTGGCGCTCTAAATTAATCAAAGCAATCTGTGTGTTTATCAGTCAAACCCTTATAGGCCATAGCAAATAGTACAAAAAATTTAAACTAAAAACTATAAACAAACTTATTTGATTTTTTTTTTCTTTTGAGCAGAGCAAGTCAAAAAAAAAAATTATTAGGTACAACCCAACACATGAAAACGTAATAACATATGAATATTTGAAACCATACTGAAAAATCAGTAAAAAATCAGAAAATTGTAGCATCAAAAACCATAAATAAGCTTAAAAAAATCTAGTAAAAAAATTATTTTCCTTTTGAGTAGACCAAGCACAAAAAGCAAAACATGTAAACACAAACAATTCAACATATGGAAAATAATAACAACTGAAAATCTGATAACAAAAAACAAAAGGTAAAAAGAAGAGTTAGTTTTAGCTAGTAATGAAATAGGGTATTTTTCAGTTGCTGGGACCAAATTCAGAAATGCATGTATGTATATACGTAGGCTGATCCAAAAAAAGGTTTACAAGCAGAAGCATTTGAAACGTTATAATTGTGTAGCAAATATTTCCACCCAGGGTGGTTGACAGATGACACTAATTGTCCTATAGCGGTTCTACGAGTTTGTGGAACGAATATTTCCACCCAGGGTGGTTGACAGATGACACTAATTGTCCTACAGCGGTTCTATGAGTAAGTAGCGTCAGTACACAGATACTTAAAAGCGACAGTAATGGTACAACGTCTAGAAAAGTGGTCTCGCATAGAGGATGCGAGTTCGTAATTCAATTCTTATGGGCCAAGAATGTGGCCTGCATTCCGAAATTTACAGACAAATCATTGAGGTATACGGTGACAAAAGCAATGAGTAGACAACAGGTAGCGAAATGGTGTCATTCTTATCAAAGAGGGAAAGGGAGCATGTGGAAAACCGCAATATGGAAGCGAGCGCGGCCATCCAAGTTCTTCAAGGATGGATATCAACACGGCACATGTATTGAAGAAATCATCCAAAGGGATTGACGAGTAACCATGCGTGAGATTGCCTCAGAGTTGGACCTGAGTTATGGTAAAGTTCAGCGTATCGCAACCGATGAGTTGCGATATTCCAAGTTCCATATATGCATTGTCTCCGGAGCATAAGGCAACTCGAATGATGTGCAGCCTCACCTTTCTTCAGCGGATACCATTCAGACGGCCAACACTTCATTGATCGCATCGTTACTGATGATGAAACATGGCTTCATCACTTGACCCCCCACATCCAAAAGAGCCACGATGGAGTGGAAACACGCTGGATCACTGATGAGGAAGAAGTTTAAGGTCACACCCTCTGCCGGTAAAGTGATAGCAACCGTTTTCTGGGATACAACTGGTGTTATCCTAATCGAGTATTTGGAGCGTGGCCATACCATTAAGGCCGATCGTTATTGTGCCACCTTAACGAAATTGCGTAAAGCCATCCGACGCAAACAGCCTGGATTACTGAGCAAAGGCGTCATTCTTCTGCATGACAATGCCAGGCCCCATACAGCTCACCAGACTTAGGAAATGCTGCAAAGGTTCAAGTGGGAGGCCTGGAATCACCCCCCATACAGCCCCTATTTGGCTCCAAGTGACTATTTCATTTTTCCGGCGTTGAAGTGATACTTATCCGGAACACGGTTCACCTCAGATGATGTAGTGAAGACAGCTGCCGAAAAATGGCTTCAATAAGCAGGGCTCTGATTACTACCAAGACGGGATAAACAAGTTGGTCGAATGTTCTGACTAATGCCTAAACAGGTTTGGCGACTATGTGGAAAAGTGGAAGGCCAGGTGTGTCTCTTGATTCCCATTTGTATCTTGTTTCTATTGTAATAAATACTTTTTCATTTGCCTTGTAAACTTTTTTTGGATCACCCCTCGTATGTGCTTGTGTGAAAGTATATATATATATATTGTATGTACGTATATACATGTACAGATACATACATTTCTGAATTCGGTTCTGATAAAAGTATTGAAATTAAATTAACAATTAATTTGAAACTAAATAATAACATAAAAATAATTCGAAAAAACTTCTAATGCAACATTAAATATAACATTGTAAAAGTGAATAATTTGTTTAAAAAAAATCAATTCAGCAAATTTGATGTTTTTCTATTTGAACATTTATGATAAATGTTCGTAGTTGTGAAACAAATACAATCTTTATCAATACAGGCAAAATATTAAAGATCTATCTATCGATATATATATAAAACAATTTAATATCTTTTGTTTTCATACTACGATTTTTATCTCATTTTGTTTTTTCCCTTAGAAAACTGGACTCATTAAATTAATTTTTTAGAATTTCAAGATTCTTGACAATTTCCAAAAGGAAAACCCATAGCTTGAGAAATAAATTCAGGGATACTCAAGTCTCAAGATAGCAGAAAATTCATGAAAATACTATTAGACATTCTTGAGTATGTTTGTAATTTTAATCAAAGCAAAAAAGACATAAACGTTTAAACAACAACCTAAATTAATTTCATAGTACCCCTGCACTATCACAATAGCTAAATATAGAATGGATATACATTATACAGTTACCTTTAAGACACCTGCTGCACTTTCTGTATCTATCAAATGATGAAATGAAATAGATGTTTTTCTCAACAACTGACAGGCAGGTAAAATCCAATCTTTGATATTAGATACTAAAGGAAAATAAAGATCAAGCAATAAAAAATGTCACAAAAATATTTAAAAACTTCAGCACAATTAATATAAGTTATAGAAATAATTTTATTTAAACACATATATTTAATGATGAAAACAATAAAAAGAAAGGCATAATTTCACGGAAAACAGAAACAAGAGCAGTTTGAAGGAAAATGTTTAGTAAAGCTTTATTTAGAATGCAAATAATCTGCGGTATTCTTTCAAAATCACTTTTGTATAAATTGTAATGTACATGGTCGAGAAAATTTCTATCAGCGAATAATTTTTACTTGTAACTAACTTTGTTAGGGTTGCTTGGTACTGTCTCTTTATTTGCGTTTTCTATTACAACATACTGTAGAATTGCCATGCTTTTGGCAAATATTTTTCAGTATACAAGTGACAGAGCTAATCTAATGTGTGCATAGCACAGATGTTTCAGTGCTTGTATATTTATGTGCTTTATATTTCACCATCATTTTGAATAGTATTTATTCATCAGTTATGAAAATGTAAATATCAGCTATACAGATTTTTTTTGTCATAAAATGTCCTATAAAAATGCTTCTTAAAAAAAAAAAATATTTATGCGCATAACAAGACCTACTAGCCGTGAAAATTTTTTTTACTGCTTTATAAAGTCATCAATGAGTTGCCAATATTTTGTGGGGGCAGAGACAATCAGAATATACCACTGTTCCTTTAGAAGTGCATTTACAATAATTATTCTTGCATAAATGCTTAAGTTTGTTCAAACATTTGTGTGGATAAAGCTAAAGGGCTTAATGCTCAATATTTATTTGTAGACTTGATACAATATATAAAGAAAGAGTAGATTTCCAAGGAATTTTCAGCAGTAAGAAAGAAAAAGGAATTTTGGTTGGAACAGTGTTAAAATACAGACAAGTTGAACATATGGTATTTACAGCAATAAGAAATAGAAATTTTGGTTGACCAATATTAAAATACAGACAAATTTTATATTTTTAAAAAGTAACAAATGTCAGATTTCAGGTATTAAAAAGACAAAACTTGTGCACTGAAATGTATTGATATAGCCCCCAATCTTTTATTTCATGACATATACCAATGTCTGTTTAGAAGCAATGAATGAAATGATTTTCCCGTCTACTTCCATTTTCCCAGTAAAAAAAAAAAAAAAAAAAATTTAAATTATTATGTGTATTATTTTCAAGTATCCCCAAAATAACTTTTCTAATGAAAAGCATGTGTGCATATATAATGGATGGCCAGCCATAATTAAGCTGACAGTGCTCACAGTGCTCTGTAGCGCGATCTATTTGCGAGAATGACGCCACATTTTGTAGGAAGATTAAACAAGACGGAGGATGAAGGATTCAGCGAAAAAAATGAGTTCCAAAAGTCACCACTAGCGGAATATTTGGAACTGTGTAATAGAAAATAGAGTGTTAACAAATACAAATCAATACGGAAATTACCTTTTATTTTGCATTCAAATGAGGTTCAATGTGGCTGCCGTTGTTGTGGACCACATATTACATTCAGTATGCACAACAGCAGAAAGTAACATGTCTGCAGGAATCTCCCGTACAGTCCGTTGATATGTTATCCTTCAACGTAGTCTGGTCCTGGACCACTTCCTTGATAGACCTTGATAGACTTAAGGTAACCCCATAGCCAGAAGTCGCATGGGGCAAGATCAGGCGACTGAGGTGGCCATGTAGTTGCAAAGTAGCGGCTAATGACTCTTTCTGTTTGTGAATTTCTGTCGTAGCATCTGTTGCACCCGTACAGCAACGTGTGGAGGGGCTCCATCTTGCATGAAAATGATTTCTCCCAGGCATTGTCTTTGTTGAAGAGCCGGAATGACAAAGCTGTTCAACATGTGGCAATTTTTCTCTCTGGTAACAGAACAGGTTTTCAGTCCTGTCAGGGTAAAGTTCTCATAGAAGAATAGACATATGATAAATTCCGCTGTGAACCCACACCAAATAGTTACCTTTGGTGAATGTAAGGGAAAAGCTGTGACTGCATGTGGTGATTTGTCATCCCAAATTCGGCAGTTCTGGGTATTCACAGTTCCATTCAGGTAAAAGTGGGCCTCGTCTCCCCATAAGATTTTCCACGTCCAAGCATCATTCACCTCCATTCTGGGAAGAAAGGTGAGAGCAAAAGTCAATTGCTTATCATGGTCGGGATACAGTAACTCCTGTACACGGCTGATCTTGTAAGGATAGAAGTTGATAATTTTTCGTAAGATTTTCCATACCGTACTGTAAGGCATATCCATAATAAAAGATAATTTTATTCCATATTAATTTGCATTTGTTAACACTCTATTTTCTATTACGCAGTGCCAAATATTCCCCTAGCGGTGACTTTTGGAACTAACTTTTTTTTTTTTGCGGAATCCTTCGTTGCCCGTCTTGTTTAATCTTCCTACAAAATGTGGCGTCATTCTCGAAAATAGATCGCGCTACAGAACACTGTGAGCACTGTCAGTTTAATTATGGCCACCCAGTATATTCTTTGATTGGCTTATATAAGAAATGTTAATAGTATTATCAGCTACTATTTCAACTATGAACAAGAGCAGAGATTCTAGAGATGATTCAAAATCACTCGGCCGCTGATGGGCATTTGCAATATTGTGATATCAATGGAAATAAGCATATGTTGCTGTTTTTAAGATATGTAAATAAGCTGTCTGAATACAGAATTTTATCTTAAGATTTCAGATTGTACTTATTTTATTCAGTGGTTTCAAATGAGAATAAAAGTTTTTCAATTTTTTCATACAGAAGATGAAGTCATTACTTCACACAGGCTAACTCAAATTGATCCAAGCAATGCAATAAATCGTAAATCTCTGAATAAAATCTATTTGGCAGACTGCTGTATAAATGTAGAATGCTGTATGGCTTCATTAAATTCAACACCACAGTAAAAACAGTTTTAAAAACGATCTTTAAAATTTCTTGTTGATTTTAGTAAAATTGAAAAGATACTTTCTCTAAATGATGATGAAATTGTTGCCAGTTTCACTGTGGTTGATCCAGTAGTGGTACATGATTATGCCAAATCACCATCCCCAATTTAAAATTTAGCGATGCAGTTCCTTAACCCTGATTCTGAAAATAAATTAAATCTGCTAGACCAGTGATGGTGAACTGATGACATGTATGTCATAAGTGATATGAGAACCAGTTCTGCATGACACACATTGCATATTTCCAGAGGCGTTTACTGAGGTAAAAAATAGCACAATAAAAGAATATATGTCTCTTGTAACAGCCGTTATCACTGTCTGCACGTACTATGCTTACCTTGGGTGCATTCCAGTGCCTTTCTCGACAGATAGACCAGAGTTAAGCAATGCGTTTCTTGAATTTTGACATGCCAGATTCAAAAGGTTTTGCCATCATTGTTTTAGATGCTGAATGGAAATCTATTTAATTTAGATCTCTCTTACTAAACCATCCCTGTTTGGTATCAGATAAAAGATAGCCTTTAATAATTGTAAATATGAAATTTTATCCAACTTTATTATCAGTCTAACTATTTTATATGACACTTCAGGTAGCATAGAAAGAATTTCTTCCCCAGTAAAATAAAAACAAAAGACACAAAATCATTTTAACAAGGAACTGTGAAAGACCAACTAATGACAAAACAGGCAATAAATAGATCTAACAAAACTGCTCTTGTTATGTGCACACGGGTTCATTAGGGATTGAATGCACAAAGAATCAATGATAGCTTGACAGAATTTATTTTTCCAAAACAAACTTTTTACAGTTCTCGAAAAGTGCTCGCAAAGCTCTTCCCAGTATCACAGAGTATAATCAGTAGTTATACTTCAAACTACTAAGAACATTAAATACAATACAATGCAAAGTGTCTAAAAAGGGAAGCTGGCATGGAGATATCTTAGTACTCCGAAGTCGACTCTGAACTGATAAACTAAGAACTGATGCTCTCTTTGGTCTTATATAGTTTTTCTCTGGCCGCTGAGAAATCTCTACTTCTTCGATTCCTCGAAATTACTGGAAGGCATATATATGATTTAAGTTACCTATAAGTGATGGATATGATTACAGTTAACAATTATTCAATTATGGCACCAACTACAGTTATACAGGGACTGAACCCAAATGTCACGAAGTCTGATGAATTGTTGTGAATTCTTGCCAAATTTGGCAGCCAAAACCACTGCTAACTTGGCAATTTCTCACCAATTTAGCAAGAAAGCTATTGATCCCAATGTTAAATACACTTCCCGCTGTAATCTAATTTTTTTTGGAAAGCTTCACTTTCTTCATGCCATTACGTTATACAAAATTCATAACATTGCCCCCTTCCTAACAGGGATAAATAGAAAGGGCTAGCTCATTTCTTTGTTCGACTCCTCGCCGACACGAGCCTAATGGGGGAACTTAACAGGCAGTAATCTGACCTCACTGTGATGCCACCTGTTTTGATTTCCCACGTTTAAAACTATAGTTTCATTCAGCTGCGAGACGATTTTCTAGAGGTTACACATCCCAAATTAATTTTAATCATATATATATCTGTTTTCTAATAATGTATATATTTAAAATAATTTATATATATGTAATTTTAGTCAGTTTTTATTTTAAATTCTATATTGTAAAGTATCGTTTACGTAACATGGCTTTTTGCGCTGTAGTGAACGTGCCGTAGCACTTACAGAAGTACGAAAGGATGAGATATTTTATTTCATGGAGACCAAAGGATCCAAATGAGATTTTGCTTTTGACAAAAGAATGGATACACAAGATGTCAAAGACAAGATTCTATTAATGTGAAGAGCGGAAAAATATGCAGCGAACATTTTCTATGCAGTGTTTATGAAGATGATATGAAAAATCGCTTGTTTGAATAGCCACAAAAAGAAAGTATTGAAATGGAATGCTGTGCCGAAAGTAAATTATGATGACAATAATAAATCGAAATTGATGACAATAATAAATCAAATTTTAATGATTTTGAA